TGCGTATATTTGTGAATGAATGCCAGGAAGAATAGGTGATTCGAAATAAAGTTTCACAGCTTCGAAGTTTCCATGATGCTCACTTCTCAGTGAATAATAATCATATTGGATAAAGACATGTTGATTGTTTCTAATATCATACATGCGATTGTTTAGCTGTAAATTTAAAGTTCATCTACTCACTGCCACTTGTAACAAGAGCCGACGTTTCTATGCCCGTCTGTCTTTAGGCACTTGATTTCAATTCATGATAGCTATTATGCCCTGATCAAGATAACAGACGGCCATCCAAACATCGGCCTTTTGTTAAAAAATAAAGAACTTTGCTGTTGGAGAGCACTCAAACATTTAGTATGGACCTTTGACACATTTATAACTGATATCCATTATTATATTTAAGTACTACTTTAAAATATTTCTGAAATTATTCATCCACTACTTTAAGATGTTTCTGAAATTAAGGTCATTGTCCTTACGGGTCTGGACCTGCAATTCGGTGCTAAAGTAACTTCATGCTAACAATTCTCTGCAAGAATACAGATTTCATTAGAAATGTTGAAAATAAAACTGGGTGCACAACAAATGATAGCTTGGTTTTAGATAATTACTAATATTTTTGTTAAAATATATTTTCTCCTGTAAGTCTAAGAACAGATACATGTTGAACTCTGAGAGTGCCGAGTATTCAGGGAAAGGCATCGTCCATCTTACCACAGGTAAGCTAACGTGTTAACATACTCATGTAACAATGGTTTATTTTATTTATTTATCAATTTATGAAGATTTGCCACAGTTGTCTAAAGATTGACATGTGACAGCTGACCATCATCCCTTCAAGATGTCAAACCTGAGACCAAAATGTAAAGATTGAACCAATCATACCTACTAAGTGTGGTTTTCCCAAACACAGGACCTCCATTTAATGTGCTATCATTTACACCTGAGTGAAGTGAGAAAAGTCGTGTTAAGTCCCCTTTTCAAGGGGACAATACTCGTATCAGTGACATATGATTCGAACCCGAGACCTCTTGAGTCTGAACCTAACACGCTACCGCTACGCCACCCCACCCGGCCCCGCGTTTATAGCGTTTAAAAGCCTATAGCCACTCGCTGATTCATAGGCCAATGACACCGTGAATTGAACATTTTTATTTAAGCCCCAAAATATGACTCAGAGCTAGATAGCCAACCGCAACTTACCTACCTTCTCCAGGCCATGGCTATCCGTGGTCAAGAGTTGGCCAGCGGAGGTTGCCAATCTATGTTTAAATATTGTATGGGCAAAAGTCCAAAGTATTAGATTTTTTATTAGACCCAACCATAGGAGCAAACGTAACTAGAATCGATGAAAATTGATTTCAAGTTAATCCCAATCAGCGTCAGTTGGTGAATGTCTGGGATCAGATTCGTAGATAGGTTCTATATAAATGTGTGTGACAAGAGCTCAGCATTGAAAAAGCAAAGGCAAAAGTGACGACGTCAAGTCTTTAGTGAATACACTACATGAAAACGGTTAGGACAGCAGAGCAAAACCATGAAACGTCATGTTGACTATGAAATATGACTGTTCTGCGAGACGTGACTAATTTCAGCACCATATTGCACATAAAAAAGTAATCAAATCCAGCATATCTTGCACTGTTGTGTATGTGTGTGTGTGTGTTTGTGTATATTTGTGTGTGTGTGTGTGTGTGTGTATTTGTGTGTGTGTATGTGTTTTTGTGTATGTGTTTGTGTGTGTGTGCGCGCGTATGTGTTTGTGTGTGTGTGTGTGTGTATGTGTGTATGTATGTATGTGTGCGTGTGTGTGTATGTTTGTGTGTGTTGTGTGTTTGTGTGTGTGTGTGTGTGTGTGTGTGAGTGTATGTGCAGTATGTAGTAAAACCTTGCCATGTTGTAGTTAAGTACATTTAGCCTGTAAATGGGTAGTTTGGGTTTTAGTGTTTACATGTGCATTACGACTCCAGAAAGACTAGTATGTATAGATAATTTCTGTATGTACAAACTAATGACCGATCAAATAAACAAAACTAATAAACATATACCCTGCCAGCAGATAACCGTTTTTATTATCTCTATTTTAGACCCTGACATCATGGCGAAGACAGGGAGAATCATAACCAGTGGTGACCTGGCAGATGAGTACGGCTTTAAAGACATTGATGGTAGGGAGAACCTGCAGATTTGCTTTAAAAAAACATTGTCACTTTAGGGCAGTAAAACTAGATTTTCTTTGTGATGTAGTTAGTTGAATCAACCACTATCCCATAGCATATTGGTATCTTTAAAGCGAACATGTGATGTAGCTGGTGGAAACGGTTGCTCATTTCTTGTCGCAGGCTGGTTATATTTATGCATAGTACCCAGAACTTTTCTAGACTTTTAAAGTCGTATAAAGACGTATAAAATAATGACAGAAATGGGCTGTACTATTAAATTTAAAAATTCCAAAGATTTTTTGACCCAGAATATTTTCCGTTCTGAAATTTAATTGGATGTCTTTATCAGAAAAAATGATAAGACAAATATCGAATAGAATTGCATCGGCTCACATAGTATTGATTGACAAAATGTAATGATTTGTTATGATAATACGACAAGGATTATGACAATTTTAACGAAAAAAATCAGTGATCATCATGATGCCCTAAAATATATACATATAGCCTTCTAATGTTTACATCTCACCATTAAATGGAAACAGATGCACTGGTACTTCAGAGGATGGCGCCACAGTACAGCAAAAAACAACGTTTCCATGATAGTGAATTTCATTATGTTGAAATCTTCAGTGTCTGGAAATGTTGCAAATTTCAAAATTGCTTCATATTTGTATCCGCTTACATAATATAATGGCGTTTTAATAAACTGGCAGTTCAATTTTATTTCTTGGTTCTCCGGCTACTAGAAACGATGCAGAGATAAAATAAAAACGTGAAAACATATTTTAGAAGGATATATATATATATATATATATATATTACTTTAGTTCACACAAACTTAAGGTATTGAATATGACCAAATAAAACTTTTTCTAGCAGCTATTCGTTTTCTTGGTGACCCCTGCCAAGTCTGTAAAATAGAACTAGGCTGGGAAAAGAACATGTTACCGACACTACGCTGTATTTTCAGGCCGGTCTCCCCCCGACTACGTCCGCCGTCTAAGGGACCGACTGTCCATGACGGGCTACACCAGACTGGCTGCCTGGGTACCAGCCTTTGTCAAGATCCCCGGCTGGATGCTTTCTGCGTACTACCACATTCTGTAGTTTTTTTTATATAGAACACTAGCCTGATAGTGGTATCTGAAACCAGCTTAGAAAACAATGAAAAAATAATTTCAATTGGTTGGTAGGAATTAGGATATTGTGATGCTCAAAAGCTCCGAGAAAGGTTCTGATAGACATCTAAATGTAAGCAACGTTGTAACAATCCATGGCCATGGCTGTGGAGAATAAAATCCGAATAATCAAGAGAAATAGTCATGTATCCGATACCCTTCGCCAAAATATTTCATCATAATTGCCTTACAGGTGTTATTAACTTACCATTCAACCTCACGGAAATATATCTTTTTGGAATTTATTTTTTCATAAATCGCGGTATTGAGGGAGCGTTCTATTTTACTTTTAAACTCTGTCGTTTATGTGCACATGGCGAAGGGTCGACGAAAACGAACGGGAATTAGCTATGGTGCTTCAGGTATTTTTGGTGACTAGCAGAGTTCGCCTTACAACCCCCCCCCCACGAAATCAATAGAATGTTTTCATGTCATGAGCCAATCACAGTGTCTGGGTTTGGATTGTACCATATGTAACAGGGAGTTTCTTGATTACCCATATATTTTATCTCTCCATTTATGCCATACTAATCTAAATACAATAATGACACATCTCTTGGCTATGCCGAATCCTGATTTCTCTAGTCTCGAGTCATGACATCAGAGACAGTGTCCCTCTAGAAGGTTTTTTTTTAATTCAACAATGATACTAGCAAATTAAGACATTGTACATCACATCACAACACATTTGCACAATGTAATAGGGGCCATTCACTCTTGTTTGGCTAGGGTTTACTCCCTTGGATTTCTATACAGGGGTGTAGTCCCTGGCCTGGGTTTCTGTTTTCTTTTCTCGTAAATTACAAATACTGAAATTGACTGCCATGAACATTGCCAGGATCACATTTTTTCAAGCTTTTTACACAAACATCTATGTACTCTATGGCAATAACTCGATACATACTTTTCAGTGTAGGCTGACCGTGTTAGTCCCTACACCTGAGTGAGGGTCACAGTTGACATGGTGGCCTTCGCGTGGATTTGTTTAAGGTGGATAACAGGTTGCGAATCTGACACCTACACACTTGGGCACCCGTTTTTCCCAGCGGATCCATATCGAGGGAGACGTGCTGGTTCCGGTTATGATGCTTGCAGCGAGCTGCCGATTGACTTCTGGTTACGCTCAAGGTACGCCTTGACTACGCCAGCCCGCCTGGCCCTTGTCCGCCAGCTGAAGACAACTGCCGTATCCCCCTCTAATTGAGGGGGATACGTGTAAAATGCCTTTCCCAAGGGCACAGCGTCGGTGCGCATGTTAGGACATGCCCCTGTGCTCCGACCCGGAATTGAAACCCGGGGCCCCTTGCTTAGTTTCTAATATCCATACATATCCATCCATACATATATGTCCCTATGTACAGCATGTAGGGGTTGTCACAAGTCAATATGTATTTAAAATTTTCTTTCCAAGTTCACTGTGGTGAATGCTTGGAAAGAATCTAATAGTCTAGTGTATAGTGCATTGCGTACATCAATATATTTAGGACACACAATCAAAAAGTGATATTCGTCCTCAATAAGCTCTGGACAAAATGGACAAACCCTCTGGTCATTGGGAATTTTATGGAATCTTCCGGTTTCTATACCAAGTTTGTGGCAGCGGGGAGGTCAGAGGTCAGTCTCCCAAGGGAGACGTGTCTTCAGCGCTATTACACATGTTTGGATTTATTTTCTGTTTATTCGCTTTTTGACTTTTCGGAAACGTGCCATCTTGTGTCGGAAGTTCCCTAGAAGCAGCCTAGCACCAACCAGGCTGATAGACAAGCCAGGAAACAGAGACTGATCGAGAAAGGAACACGGCAGTATGGCTGGGAGAAAAGACATGGCGGCCGCCATGACGCAGCCCTCCGAAGTTACACCTTCAACAACGCATGAGAAGTCGGCTACAGGTACTGTAACCCCAGGTTGTAAACCAGTCTTCTTTCTAGAGAGAGATGTGCACTATGTCGACGTCTCTAAAGACGAGCCGTACTTCACAAATGTTGCAGTGTATAAAGGAATTTCGCGTTTTCTTCACGGAACAAAGATCTCCGGAATTCAACAAGTGCGTGGAATGTGACTCTATCTTGCTCAAGTATCCCTCCGCTACAGTGAGGAAATTCCTTTGTTATATTCCTTTGTTATATTCCTTTGTTATTTCCTTGATTTGTTTTTGTATTATTGCCTTAATTACTATGAGTTGTGGCTCTTGGTTTGACAAGTTTGTTTTATTACCACCTTACTGAGTTGCGGCATTATATAGCACTTTTACTTTTATTTGTACTAAGTTGACTTTAATTTGGACTTATAAGTTGACTTATCATTTTGTTATATCTGTTATTTTCTTGTATATTTTATTTATGTATGCCTGCAGGGTACATTGAAAAACGCCTTAGTGGCGATATGTACACCCTGGGTAAACAAATAAAAACAAACAAACAAACTCTATCTTGCTCAAGTATCCCTCCGCTACAGTAAGGAAGCGTCTCACATGTTAGGTATGGGGATTGACATCAGATGTGAGTGGGACGTTCCTACACCTCCTGTGCCTTCCCTTCCCTCACTACCCTCTTTCCCTGTTTCCATCCTCCTTCCCCCTTACCACCCCTTATATTTCTCCTATCCCCAAACCTCCTACTAATTCCCCCAAACATCATACCTAACCCTACTTCCCCTCCTTTATCTTAATTATTTCCCAGCCTCAACTTTACCTCCCCTACCCTCATTCCTTACCCCCAATCTTCCTCCTCTATCCTTTAAAAGCCTTGTTTTCTTCCCTTCCCCTTGCTCTTTCTCACTTTGTCTTAGACGCCCTTCTTATCCCTTGAAGTCTAATTTCCCTAAAGAACAGTCTACAACTCTTGGTGCATGTTTCACTTGTGTCCTTTATTATGTCTTCATGTTGTTTCCATTGCTTCTCTCCGTAATTTCGTCATTTGCACTACCATTTCATCCATGTAGATATAACATCTGCTTTACCAATTGCTGAAAATCTTTATATCCTCATACACCTTTACCAACCTCAGTATGTCCGGCACCTGGAAACCGGAAACCTCACTATCAGCCAACTTGGCCAAGGCCTCTGACGCCTGATTCAAATACAAGACTGATCCTAACTGCATATTATGGTTGGCAGATCTAACTGTCCTCCAGCCCACGTGTGACATAATATGGGGGAGTGGGACCCCTAATAACGCTAAGGTTATAGCTGCCCCTGTCCTGAAGCTATGCAAAGTTTCTCCATCATTCAGATTAGCCTCCCTCAGGTACTTCTTCAATCTTCCCTCAGCTGCTACTGAGGATAACGGAGCAGGTAGTACCAAACCCTCCCTTGAGGTCGTTCTGAACAAATATCCTCCCACCAATGAGACAGCCAGCGTCCCTACTGAATCCAAATATCTTATCAGTCCTTGCACTGGGCAGATTAACCTGTCTTGTACCTTTGTCACCCCAAACATGTTGTTAGTCCCTCCTCTAAGTGTTTTACCATATGTATGGTTAAACACCACAGTCTCCTGATCTGGTGCTACCAGAACTTCTGCGGACAAGGCTCGACCCAGATCCCCCGCCCTATCTCCACCGAACATCAGTATTTTAAAGAAACATAAATCTCTCTCAAGCACATACATGTCAATGTCAGAGATACCCACAACTCCTGCCTTGGCTTCTATATGTTGGATCAACAGTCTAAACTTATCCATAAACATCGGTAGTGCTTGGGTTGGGGTGACATGGGCTCGAGCCTGTTCCTCGGCAATCAGCTTAGTATAGCTCTTTATTGTGGGATGAGCTGCCGGGTTAGTAGCCCCCGTCGCCGGCTCCCATTTATCCCCTCGTCCCAGAGTCCTGAACCTGGACTTCAGCTTTCCTACCACAGTGAGTACTGTCCCTGCCGCCAGCCTAAGTGGGCAATCACATGAACACGCAGTCTTTTTCCCTATCTGAGGGCATTGCAAGTGATGGACTTTTGTTTTCCCTTCCGCTTCTTTCCAGACCAAAAACCTCAAGAGGTCCTTAGGTAATACATCATGTATTGTTTTAGGATTGGGTAGAGATACCAAAAAATGTTCCAATTCCACTTGCAACGCCTCCTTCTGCTTTTCGTATGCCGACGATGTATTGAACAAGTTATCAATTCTATCGTCCAAGCTCTCTACGTCAATAGTAGCTGGTGCCCTCGTGATATCCTGTCCTGTCTGTTCAACAGGATGAAGCTTGGGCGCCTGCACACCTCTTACAATACCTATAATCCCCGTCATTTATCTCCCCACACGCTTGACACCTCAGCGCTGGTGCCCACCACAGCTTGGCTTTGGCCTGAAAACCAAAAAATCCCTAATTGAGTATCTTACCATCATACCTGTCTCCTACCAGGTTTAACATACTATGTTAACTATTCTGGTTCGCACCGGAACACCGATAAGTCCCAAGGGAGGCCTCTGTTGTCCGGCTTAAACCCCTTTTTCGAGGGATAGAGCAAGACTGCCTTTTGGCTTTTTGTCGCTAGGAGGCGGGCCTCTCTTGTTTGAGCCGTCAAGACCGGCCACCATATAGGAGTATCTGGCGTTCTAGGCGCTACCAATGTGAAAGTCACTCTGTTAGCTAGCAAGAAACTGATGGTAGGGAAGATCAACGGCAAAGGAGGGAAGACGTATCCGTTCTCCCTTTGTCCTGTATTCCTATTAATGGCAGGATTCTGAGCAAAAAGGTTAATCCCAGCCGAGAGCGGGGTGGGCCATGGCGTATAGTGCCTGAGGGGTTTCCCGGCGTTATAGTCGAGATGAACATTAGAGTCTAACGACATAAAATCTATCGTATGTCCCATTGGTCCCCCATACATCCTCTGTAGTTGATTCCACAACTCCGGGTGCAGCCTCGCATCCAACTTCGACAGACTCCTAGAAGGAGCATCCGCCGGGTTAGATGCCGACTCCACATATACTAACTTGAGAGCAATGTTTGCCTCAACTGTTGCCCAAAACAGCTCTTTTATGGCGTCATTAAGCTCCCTTGACGTACCCCCTTCTCTTTCCCATGCTGCCTGCACCACCTTGCTATCAACTTTAGCTGTGACCCTTGCACTATTCACCCATGTCTTAGCCGCCCTAATGGCGTATGCTAGTGCCTTAGCCTCTTTGATGTTGATATGCAATACTCTATCCTGCTCACTCCAGTAGTCGGAGTATGTGATCGACTCCTTATCTGGCAGATCTAAGACAGTCCCCCATTTCAGTTCGGAAGCGTCCGAGGACATTGTTAGTGTGAGATGTCTCTACTCCCGCCATTGCATACAACCTTCCGAGTTATCCAGGAACCTCCACTCCTCAATCTCCTCCCTCAACTTCCCCGTAATCAGAATTAACTCCTGCCTTCTCTGCGCATGCGCGATTGCTCTATGTGCTTCCCTAGCCAACAGCTTAG